CTCGGATACATTCAAAGACTCAGCTGTCAGCCCATGTGGAATTGTACCGCAAAACGCTAGCGAAAAGCTTGCTAGCCACTCAATAGCGGATTTGTAGTAGATCGATTTGAAAGGGGTCCAGAAACTTGCCTTAGGAGGAGCCGGAGGTGGCCTCAGACCGTCAGCCTGAAATTGAATTATAAGTCACCTTAACACATCATCACCCACTCCAAGCGATTTGTCATTCTCTTAACGAGAGAAACTTACAATGCAACACTGCTTGCACTTTGGTTTATGCTCCTCTTCATAGTATGGAGTACCGGCCGGTATTGTTTTATTGCATTTCTTACAGGGCAACTGAAAAATTGCTCATCATCTGAAGAATCCAATTTCACATTTCTCTACATCGAACGATATGTAGGATTTTTTTCGCTGGAATTAGAGATGTGTTGGATGTTCCCACAAAGTACTGTGATCAGGACAAATTTTTTGAAGAAAAAAAATAGAAACTAAGGTAGATAGAAGCGCAAGAAGAACGAGTCGCAGAAGTTCGGCTAAAGTCTGAGAAGTTGACAATATTGTGCAGTAAAGGTACTGAAGAAAAAAGCTATAGGCTACATACAGAGCGGAACTTTAGGAAATATTTTATTCAGGGGAACAAATCTTCTTATAGTCATCCAACAGAATCATATGGATCAAATAGTCATAGGTAAACCACTCACCGGCACAGAAGAAATGACCGGCTCAGGTTTGGAGCCATCTTTCTGAAAAATGGCGGTCATATGATCTCAATAAGGAGAGGTGATTCTCTCATTTATACATGGACTACTGGAATGCCACTCTTACGATCAGTCATGGTCCTGTTGCTCCCCCATATTCATTTTTAAAGCGTATTCTTTCTCAGGCTTCCCTTGGTCCGCTTTGTCCTCTTCGGTTCCCTTGGTACTCTTTGCGACCACTGCTACCAATGATAGCCATTTAGAGGTGATTGGGAAAGTCAGTAGCAGGGATCCACCAAAGAAAACCGCTGCTCGGACGATTGTGGAAGCACAAGCAAGTGAGAAGGCGCTAGCCGTCTTTCGGTGATTAATCAAGCCAAGAAAATGTTGTATCTTCTACTTTTGATACTTCTATCCTATTCACTGAAGAGATCAATCACATCTCTTCATGGACCATGGACTTGAATGCACGCTCCGCGATCAGGTGTTGATGTTGGGCCCCTTTTG